TTAACGTAGGTCGCAAGTCAATCACTTTTGAGAGAAATAGTAGTAACAATTGTTGTTGTTGTTAAGTACCGTGGAGTCGGTTCCGACTCATAGTGACCCTGCACAGGGTTTCCAAGGCTGTAAATCTTTACAGGAGCAGAAAGCCTCATCTTTGTCCCGTGGAATGGCTGGTAGTTTCGAACTGCTGACCTTGAGGTTAGCAGCCCAATTCATAACCACTATGCTACCAGAACTCCTTAGTAGTAACAGTAGCTAAGTGTTATTGAATCAGTTCCAACTCATGGCGACCCTATATAGGGTTTCTGAGGAGTGGATGGTGGATTTGAACTGCTCACCTTGTGGTGAGCAGTCCAGTGCTACTCTGCAGTGCCACACCAGAACTTTAGAGACATAAGAGGACTTAAACAAGTGAGCAGAGATCAGAGAGACCTCCTACCAGCAAGAAGAAGAAGCAAGAGCAGAGGCAGGGTCCCTTAGACCCAGGGGAAGATCGATGACAAGGATCTTCTGCCAGAGCTGAAACTGAGAGAAGGCCTTCCCCTGGAACTGGTGTCCTGAGTTGTGTGAGAACCAATTTGCTTGTTAAACCCAGCGGTTACAGAAGCATTAGAGAAGTAAGCCAAGGCCCAAGCTGGGGGTTCTGAGATGGCAGCATCGCACACTCAGTGGACCCTGTGCTGCGGTTTCACGTGTGAAACCTACCAGATGAGTAGTGATGGTGATGGTATTGTTGTTAGTAACCACTTAGGGTATTGATACTCTTGGCATCCCTGTGTGCGCAGAGAGAACTGCTCCATAGGGCAGTCTCCAGACGTGGCTTCTGAGACACCTCTGTTATTGTTAGGTGCCATTAAGTCAGTTCCAACTCAGAGCGATGACCCTATATACAATGGACCAGAACACTGCCCAGTCCTGTGCCATCCTCACAATTGTTCTGTTTGAGCCCATTGGTGTTGCCACTGTGTTAATCCGTCTCATTGAGGGGCTTCTACTTTTTCACTGACCCTCTCTACTTGACCAAGAATAATGTCCTTTTCCAAGAACTCGTCCCTTCTGATGACATGTCCAAAGTATGTGAGTTGAAGTCTCCTTCCCATTTCTTCCTCTAGGTGGATTCAAACCAGCAAACTTACAACTAGTCATTAAGCACTTAACTGTTGGCATCATCCACAGATTTCCAAGGCGGGTAGTAGTATCTCCCTTTTACAGATGGGCAGTCAGAAGGAAAGATTGGCTGGCTTACGGCCACAGCTGGGACTCCATCACATGTCTGACTCATGTGTGTCCAGCCAGGCAACCCCTGTCACACCAAGGCCAACAAGAGAAAACCTAGTCCCCATGTTTCCTACCTGAGGCCAAGAACTAATACAGCATTGCTGCTCTGAAGTGGGCAAAAACCATAGAGGGTCTGCTTGGAGGCGCTGGGGCTAGGAGTCGCAGATGTGCAAACAAGCACCACGTGACTGTGATTAAGTCTCCCCAGGAGAGGTTCCACAGCAGTTAACAACAACAACAACAAAGGAGAGATTTGGGCAGAGGGTATGAAGCCAGCGGAACTGTGATTTTGTTTATGGTGGGATGGGCCTTGGACTTGCATATAATGAAACATTTTGTTGTTAAGTACCTTCGAGTTTGTTCTGACCTATAGTGACCCCTGTATAGGGTTTCCAAGGCACGGCTGGTGAGTTTGACCTGCCGACCTTGTGGTTCAGCCCGACTTGCAGTCCAGAGCATAAGCCCACAGCGCCACACCAGGATCATATTGAAAATACAAAATGGCAAATCTGAGAGGAAGGAGCCAGAATGGAAGCTGGGCTGGAGGCTTCATCGTACGGCTCCAACTTCTTAATTTTATTCCTGCTCCAGACAGCTGACATGGTAGGTCTTGCTGGTGTTCGGAGTCAGGGAAACGATATAACTTATCTTGACCAATCAACTTATGTAGACAATCACACAGCATTTACTTCAGGACAAACTTCAGAAGGTTTGGATAAAAAGGAGAATGGAAACAAGAAACACAAAACGGAAGTGAATGAGTGATGTTACATGGAAAGGATCGCAATCACTGAGAGGAAATGAAGTGTATGATTTACTGAATGCAAAACCGATGATCTGCTCTGTAAACCTTCACTCAATTCACAGTAAAAAACTTAAAAAAGAAAATACCATGGCTTGGGTCAGGCATACCTCAGTCCTTAAAAGAACAGGAACATCTTTGCTCTTGCACTTTAAAGTGACTAGAGGTAAACACTGTGAACAGATGGAACATGGAGGGAATTGCAGTCATTGTAATAAAGCCAAGGTTTTATTTGTTGAATGTAAAACTGATGATCTGATCTGTAAACCTTCACTCAACTCAATTAAAAGTTAAGCAAAGCACTACAAGAACAAGCAAGCTGTTTACTGGGCAGCCATCAAGGCAATCAACCAAGTCCCTTCAGGACAAACCCCCCTCCAAGACTGAAACTCAAAGGGAACACATGAGCAGGCATGTAAGCTTGCTGGCAACCTCATTGGTCCAATGGTGAGTGGAAGAGGGGGAAAAAAGGCAGCAATGAAGATAAGGGCTGAGTTTGACCACGTCCCATAGACTCACGTTGACCTGGTGATGAGAGAGAGAAGAGGAAGGGCTGGTTGGTCCAAAGTATGGTGAGACTTGGGAACACCTGAGCCCATGGACAAGGATATAGCCACAGAGGGCTAGAGCTGAGAGTGAAGCATCCAGCTGATATGAAGGGAGTGAGGGGAGATGTACAAGAACACCCAAACTTACAGATAGTACCCATTTGACCTAGCCTCCATGGCTTGATGATCAGAACTCAACTAAAGGAAGATAAAAACATTTTGACAAAGGAAACAAGTATAAATTGCTATCATTTGATGAACTTGACCTATTCTTATGGATGTAGTATCAAAATACCAACTCAAAATACCAACTGAGAGGGAAGGAATCTTCACATCAAGGATCATTCCCATCCCTTCTGTACACAGAGTTGATAGGGACGGGCAACTTAGACATTGGCTACCTAAAATGGGGGGCTATATAGGCACAAAGTAACTGGCTTACAAGTTTTCAAGAGGGAGTTTAGTTTAAGAGTGTATGAGAGAAGATAGAGTCCCCACTGAATAGCTTTCATCTTGTCTATACAGGTCTGGTGAAAAGAATTGGGAATAAGATTCTTATGATTCAATAGTGAGTAATTGTTACCATGACTAATTGCAATTGTCACAACTGTAAAGGTAGTAGTTTTGTAACAAAAAGGGGGAAGTAGTCAATCTTATATTCCAGGAACAGAGGGCCCTAGGACCATCAAGGGAGAAGAGCACGAGTGGAATGTGGGACCCTATCCAGAGAAGCAGCGACCCCAGAGATGGAGGCAGAGATGAGGACATGGAGAGAAGGAGCAGCTGAGGACTCTAGATTCATGGAAAGAGAGGGACTGAGTGCTGGTGGCCAGAAGGCAGGCTTGCAGAATGTGCCCTTTGGTTGTTTAAATTATTACATATTCCTGAGTATTTTTTGTTCACATCCCCCCTGAAAAAAAAAAAAAAGCAGAGGGAATAGAAGCAAATACTGTTGAATGATGAAACAAACAAACAAACAGAAAAAGTTAAATCGAAACAACGAAAAACCTACTTCATAGCCTGCATGTGTTCTCCAAGTGTGGTTTCTGGACCAGCAGCACTGATTTTTCCTTGAATCTTGTAAGCAGTGCAAATTCTCAGGTGAGGAGAAAAGTTGTTGTTTTGTTCAGTGTCATCAAGTCTGTTCTGACATATAGCCACCATGAAGAGGTTTCCACCTCGCAGTTCAAATCGACCTTGTGGCCACACCTACACCACACCAGCACTCCTCAGAGAGAATAAGCCACAAGCAATGATTTTCATGTGAGCTGCTTTTAAGAGGGTAACATTCTAATGTTCAACAGAAGGTTTAAAAAAAAACAAAACCAGTTGCAATTGAACCTATTCTAACCCGGACTATGTACCAGACGTAAGAGACGCCGGAATGTGGAGCTACTCCTGGTGCATCCACACGAGGAACTCAGGGTAGAGGGGAGGCAGAAATTGAACCTGTGCATTCCCACACCATGACCATGTAGAGTGGCACCTATACTGCCTGGTGGCACAGAGGAGGTATCTGGAAGCATCTGTGGGTTAAGCTTGAGTGGGAAAGAGCCCATTAAAAGGGTGGGTATCCTGTGTGTTAAGGAGTTTGGGTGGGTGCTCGTGTTCACTGAACAAGTAATAGGGTATCCATAGACTTGTCCATGTGTGCAGAAGGGATGGGGACAGAGCCAAGCTCTGTTGTTGTTGTTAAGTACCGTAGAGTTGATTCCAACCCATAGTGACCCTTTACAGGGTTTCCGAAACTGTAAATCTTTACTGGAGCAGAAAGCCTCATCTTTCTCCCACAGAACAGCTGGTAGTTTCGAACTGCTGACCTTGAGGTTAACAGCCCGATTCGTAACCACTACACTACCAGAGCTCTGTAGGAAGTAGGAAATGGTGATTAAACCATCACTGTGTGTTCGACATCCACACCAAAAAACAAATCCAATGCCGTCAAGTCAATTCCAACTCATAAAGACCCCCCTGTGTTTAGAGTAGACCTGTGTGCCCTAGGGTCTTCTTGGCTGTCATCTTTATTACAGTGGACTACCAGACCTTGCTTTCCCAGCACCGCGGGTGAGTTCCAACAGCCAAACTTTCAATAAGCAGCGGAGCACAGATCGATTGTGCCACCCAGAGGCCTCCCAGGCACCCATAAGCACATGATATTTCAGCTAGTGAAGCTTCAATGTAACCCAATGACCCTGAGAGACAACAAAGGATATGCCAAAATGTTTGTGTTTGAGCCTGTGTGTATACGCAGCCTTTGAAGTGTTTGAAGGAGAAAATGGTTTCGGTATGATTCTCGGAGCCACTGGTTCTCAATTCCAATGGCACGAGCAGGGCCTGAGGAACTCATTTAAAAAGATACAGGTACCTGGGTTGTAATGGAGAAGTGGCCTGGGATATGGGGCTCGGATGCTATAGAAAAGATGAGCATGCTAGTGAACAGCGTTCTTATCGCCACGAAGAGTCAGAGGCAGAAAAAAAAATGAATTGCTTGATATTAATAAAGGTTTTGTTTTTTTTTTCTTGTAGGAGTGTCCAAATCACGGGTATGTACTCTTTTTATCTTCTCCATGTATATTCATTTTGCCAAATTTCCCATTTGTTTTGCTTCTAATTGTTCAGAACTTTTATTTCCTTAATCCATATGCATTGTGCGCCTAGTGTAAATGTGGAGTCGCTGTGTGGATTGTCTTCTATTTAGGAAGTGCTGTATACCTCCCTTCTCAGAACAACAATCAACCTAGATGCTGTATTTCAATGTTATTTTATGTGGAAAGATTACTATGAGGGAATGAATACCTCAAGATTCTAGATTCCCACTCTGGGTAGGCACCAACACGTTACTAAATGTGCATCATCTACGTCTCATGCTATTGGTTTTAGTTTGTGAATACGAACCAGAAAGAAGTTTATTTAAATCTCATTTTGTTTTTGTCAGAGTTGCTTTGGGTACCCCTTGAGCATCTTCTTCATCGTGATCAATGAATTCTGTGAAAGGTTTTCTTACTATGGAATGAGAGGTAACTTGTCAACGTGTCTCACCCTTTGGAGAAGAGTGTGTATCATCACCACTAGTTCTAACTGTGTTCCTCCTCCCTCTTCTGTCTTCCCCTGTGCAAAGCACTCCTGATCCTGTACTTCCGACGGTTCATTGGATGGGATGATAATCTGTCCACGGCCATCTACCACACATTTGTTGCTCTGTGCTACCTGACACCAATTCTTGGAGCTCTTATTGCCGACTCGTGGCTGGGAAAGTTCAAGTGAGTACTTGAAACATTCTTGTTAATGAACAAGCCAAAGAGTAATGGTACACTTTGTGGTTTAGGACGGTGTCATCTGGGAATGAAGAAGACTTTAAGGGGTATAAAGAACATTGTAGCTTAGAAGAACATTGTAGACCTTACTTCTGCTCATTGTCCATCCCCAGAACCTAGCAGTCTGCCTGGCATATAGCAGAGTGAATACAAGAATCATTAGCTGGTGTTTTCCTTCTCCAAAGAGTTACATCTTTATTTCAGCTTGAAACAGTAGCGGGGATACTCTGTCATTAATGATGTGCAAGGAAAACCAAAAACCCTAATGTATGTCCTGACTTTGGAGGGGCTTACACTGTCAATGGGCAGAAAGACTACACGGCACAAAGTAGCTCAAGAAAGCATCCTTTTAGGCTGTAGGAGTGCTATATAGAGTGCTCCGTGGAGGCCAGGATGGCTAAGCTTCTTCTCTCATACTTTGGACATATTGTCAGGAGGGAACAGTTGCTCGAAAAGGATGTCATGCTGGGTAAGATGGAGGGTCAGAGAAAAAGAGGAAGACCCCCAACGAGATGGATCAGCCAGGTGGCATCATTGATGGACTCAAGTGTGACAGCGGTAGTGAGGTTGGCCAGGATCAGACATTGTTTCGTTCTGCTGTGCATGGGGTCGCTATGAGTCATTCCGACTCGATGGCACCTGACAACAACAACAACATTCTATAGGAAGAGCTCCAAGAGTGGAGTCAGCGGGAATTACCAAGAAACACGTCCTATGACCCAGTGAAGACCAAAGAACAAACATGGGCAGAAGCTGGAATAGTCGCTGTTTCAAAACAGTTATACCCAAAATAACCAATGGTCCGCACATGGTCAAATACTGCTACCAGTCACTTTGGTACATGTGCATCTCTCACAGTTGGAACCAGGGTTTTACAATTTGATATCCTGCTGAAATTTTGCATTTCCACCCCAGATATACTGAATCAGAATCTACATTTTAAGACCCTCCCCCAGGTTACTCTTATGTATATGTTTATAAGAATCTATATGATTCATCCAGAAATCTTGTTAAAAAGTAAATTCTGAGTCAGTCTCTCTAGTAATCAAACCATCCACTGCCATGAAATCAATTTCCGGGCCTAAATCTTTACAGGAGCCGACAGCCTCACCTTTTTCCTGCCGAGCCACTGATGAGTTCCAACTGCTGACCTGGGCTCCTTATATCTGGAGGAGAAATGCAAATTTCTTAGCAATAAAGTCCTGGTTCAAAGATCCAGATTTAAGTCATTAAGTAATACAAAACATTAAGTAATACAAAAAATAGCTCAAAAATAAAGAGGATCTTTTCCCCTTCTGCTTCCAACACTAGCCAAGTTTGAAAAACAAGTGTATTCATGACAGGGCTCTTGAAAATTTTGAAGGAAAGGGGTCTTTTGTGGTGGAATTTTGTATTGCCATTGTGTAATCAACTTACTGTCTCTGTTCGAACCCAGGACAATTGTGTCGTTATCTATTGTTTACACAATCGGACAAGCTGTCACTGCAGTGAGCTCCATTCATGACCTCACAGACGCAAACAAAGATGGGACCCCGGACAACATTTCTGTGCATGTGTGAGTTGATGCTAATGACTCCCTGTCTCCCCATCCTAATCGTGGTTGCTCAATGCATGTTCTAATGTTTAATCCTTTTCTTTGAGTTTCTCCAAGAGTGTAAGGAGACTTTCTCTTTTCAGAATAGTATTGAGAAGGCAGTTTTCCTAACTCAGAGTTGAGTCTTCTGTATGTTATCATCTTAGGGGGATTGTTGACTTTGAGGGACAACTGTCCTGGGAACCTCCTATCTAATGCATGATCAGTGAGTGGAGCCTTAGTGTTAGACTTGATACTCTATAGAGAAACATTCCCAGAGACCACCAGGTTTCCTCAGGATTCTTGTGCCCTTGGTTTTCCATCTTGTGCCACACTTCTGTGTATTTTTTAGTCATTCCATTTCATGAATATTTATTGCAGCCCTATTTGCTGGGTTCTTGATGAATGTTAGTTTTTTGTTTTGTTTTGTTTTGTTTAATGCTTCATTGTGAATTATGTGATAGTTTACATGGAGAACATTAGCTTTACATTCATCCTATCATATATCGTTTCATTGCTGTGGTTACAACCCCCTCCAATGAATGTTAGTTTTATTGACAAATGTTACTAAACTAATGCATTCCCTATCCTTGTCTAGCACCTTGGTTGTAAAGATTTATTTTGTTTTCTCTTTTTGTATTTAAATTCTTGATCTATAGAGAAAATAATGTTTGGGGTTGGGAAAATATAATTGAAATTCAAATTAGTATCTGTGGTCCTCACATTTCTGACTTATTAGAAAATCTGACTGCTGTTCAGACCAGGCATCTTGATATCAGCACCCTTGGGTCCCACAGGGAACTCTGTTGATGGAGGGGAGTGGTTTAGAGTTAGATCCCCAGCTCTTCACAGGGTAGCTATATGACCTTGGGCAAGTTATTCTCCCTTGTCTTTAGTCTTTAGTTTTCTAATCTGTAAAACAGCTTCTTGTTGTCGTTAAGTGCCATCAAATCAATTCTGAGAGTTTCTAAGGAGCGGCTGGTGAATTTGAACTGCTGACCTTACAGTTCAAACCGACCTTGTGGTCAAGTGCTTATCCTACAGTGCCACACCAGGCCTCTAAGTCAGGTGATGTGATTCAAATTCTAGTCGTGTCTCTTTCTGGTTGTGTTATCTCGAGCAAATTTCTTAACTTGTGTGCCTCAGTTTCCCTATTTGTAATAGCAGTGTTGTTGTTAAGTGCCCGTTCCGACTCCTAGCTGTATAGGATTTCTGAGGAACAGCTGGTGGGTTTGAACCACCAACTTTGTGGTTAGCAGTCCAGTGCTGATCCTATAGGAGTTCTTGTATCAGACTGTTGTGGGTTAAAGCCGAGTCCTTCCAATGCTGCCTGGTAAGTGATAAATGCTCAGTAAATCTTAGCTATTTATTTTATTTCATGGAATTAGTAGTGGATCATGGCTAAAGTCTCACAAGAGAGCATGGTGGTGGTGTGCCATCGATTTGCTTCTGACTCTTAGTGACCCTATATAGAGTTTCCGAGGCTATAAATCTTTACAGTCACAGAAAACCTCATCTTTTTCTCCAAGAGTAACTGGTACCATCAAACTACTGACCTTAGGGCTAGCACCCCAGCTTGTAATCCACTATGATGTGACCCTGCTTTTCTTCTAAATGAGTCAAGTAACAACATGGGGCCCTTGGGTATGCACTCAATGACTGCACAAGGTTGGCAGTTCAAACCCACCCAGAGGGACCTTGGAAGACACACCTGGACATCTGCTTCCCAAAGGTCAGGGCCTAAAGACCTTGTGGTTCTGTTCTACACGGTACACCTAAGACTCACCATTCAAAACTGACTGGACAGCAGTCACAGAGTAACCACGTTAAACGTGAGCTGTGTTATGAGACCAACAAGAAACCCAGGAAGGAGAGCTGCTTTTAAAAACAACTCTTCTCATGTGTGGTATTTTCCTTGACTTTTCCTGTTTCATAAGAGTTTTCGTATTTTTAAGCAACACTAGCAGCCAAGATGATATAAAGTACACACTTGCAAAAGTTTAAATTTGTAGCAACTAACTGTAAAACACATATAACTACAAGATGAGGGTTGATATATTCTAGGAATAATTTTTTTTTTTTTTTTCCAATTCAGGAAGGAAAATACTTGCCGATAACTTGGGAAATTAAAAAGTAAATAAAAAGAAGTAATCCTTAAAAACACTCGCCCCACCCCCCACATAGTGTAGCTATTTCTTTGTAAATTGATAGTCTGCTTTTCATGTCAGTCATGTTTCCCACTGCCGTTTCCGTGCTGTTATTAGCCTGTAACAGTTGTACCAGGAACAATGCTTATACATATTTATTTAAGGAGCATTTCATTTGTTCATTCATTTACTGCATAACTATATGGCTCAAAAGAGCTCCGAACATCAGTCTTTATCTGACTTTAAGTCATTGCTATCCATTTTCTAGATGGTAAACTATTTCACAAAGACATGAACTTGAAGGGCCATCAATTCAAGTTGTTATTGAACTATCAAGATAGCATATCCTCTGATTTATTTTTTCTCAGAAAGTTGTGGAGTCTTCCCCAGGTTTGCCCTTGCTCTGGGTCCTCAGCAGGAAACTAGGGAAAGAGAGAGCTCTGCTTTGAAGAAACTGACCTTCAGCAACCTCTTCTATCCCCAGGGCTCTGTCCATGATTGGCCTGCTTCTGATAGCTCTTGGGACAGGAGGAATAAAGCCTTGTGTGTCTGCCTTTGGTGGAGATCAATTTGAAGAGGGCCAGGTAAGAGCACATACCTTCACAGAAACCAAATAATGGAATTAAATATCAGTGACCCCAAAAAAGAAAAAACCCAAAAATCTGTTCTCCAGTTGGCTCTTTTCAAGTACCCTTGAAAGTAAGATGTTGTCGCTCTGAGATGCTGTCAAGTTGAATCTGACTCATAGCAACCCTATCTTTGCACAACAGAACAAAACGCTATCCAGTCCTGAGCCAGCCTCACAATTATTGTCATGCTTGAGCCCATTGTTGCTGTCTCTATTGTCAGCCCACCTCCTTGGGGGTCTTCATCGCTTTTGCTGACCCTCTACTTTACCAAGCATGATGCACTTTTCCAGGGACTGGTCCCTCCTGATAACATGTCCAAAATCCACGAAATAAAAGTCTCGGAATCTTCGCTTCCAAGGAACATTCTGGCTGCATTTCTTCCAAGACAAATTAGTTTGTTCTTATGACAACCCACAATACTTTCAATAGTTTTTCCCAATACCCTAATTCAAAGGCATCAATTCTTCTAGGGTCTACCCTATTCATTGTCCATCTTTTGTGTGAATATGAAATGACTGAAAATTCCATGGTAGGAGTCAGACACACAATAGTCCTCAAAGTGATATATCTTTGCTCTTGAACACTTTAAAGAGGTCTTTGGGAGCCGATTTGCCTTATGTAATACGTCATTTGATTTTGTAAATGCTGCTTCCATGAGTGTTGATTGTGGATCTAAATCAAATGAACTCTTGGGCAATTTCAACCTTTTCTTGTTTTATCCTCATGTTATTTACTGGATAAAAATCAGATCAGCAGCTACGTTTGATCAATTGATACAGAATCAAGGTGGTCATACTTCAAAATTGTCCTTTTCCTTACAGGAGAAACAAAGAAACCGATTCTTTTCCATCTTTTATCTGGCCATCAATGCTGGCAGTTTGCTTTCTACAATCATCACTCCCATACTCAGAGGTAAAACAAAAAAATCCCCCCCAAAAAATGGAAAGGCCTTCTGTCTTCCTTTTTTAATTGAGGAGAAGAAAGCCAAGTAAAGAAATGAAGTCTCTGCTTTGTCGGTTTGGTTCCCGCCCCCTCCTCCAGTCACTCTTGACTTACACTTCAGCTGTCAGATACATGGCTAGTGTAGAAACTGAAATCCAGAATATGAAATTCTTCTCTTCTTTTCAAGTTTCACTTCCTTTTCTAATCTTACTTAAGGAGGCCTGGTGGTTAAGTGTTTGGCTACTAACCGAAAGGGCAGCAGTTCAAATCCACCAGGCTCTCTGTGGATGAACGATTTAGCAGTTTGCTTCCATAAATATTTCCAGTCTTTAAGACGAAACCCATGGAGCAATTCCACTCTGTTCTAGAGGGGGACTCTCAGCCAGAATCAATTCTACAGCAAGACATATAAATTTTATTGAAATCCCTTAGCTCAGCGGTGGTTGTTGTTGTTGTTAAGTGCCATCAAGACAATTCTAACCCCTAGCGACCCTGTATAGGGTTTCCAAGGAGCAGCTGGTGAGTTTGAACCACTGACCTTGTGGTTCAAACCAACTTTACAGTCCAGTGCATTAACCCACAGCTCCACACCAGGACTCCTTTGGTGGGGAATGTTCTTTCGGCCAGAATTTATAACATCATTTGCAGCACATGCAAAATCATCAACTTAAAAGAACATTTCATGAACTCACCCTTCATGGCAGTTTCTTCTAGTTCAGTGCCTTACTGAGAATTTGCCCCTGCACCCCAGATAGACTGAATCCAAATCTCCTTTTTAACAAAATTCCCCAGGTGATTCTTCTGAATATATAGAAAGCTAGGTCTTCCAAGAAAAGGGTAGAGAACAAATTTTACTGCCAAAATTTATCACATCATTCATGGGCCAGACAAAAGTATCAACTTAAAGATTATCCTGCTGTATTTAGTCAAACATTTAAGTAACTCACCCCTGTACTAGACTGCAAAGTCAACCTGAACCGCAAGGTGGGTGGTTCAAGTTCACCTTATGCAGGGTCGCTATGAGTTGGAACCGACTCGACGGCACTTAAAAACAACATCAAATGTGATGGCTGGAACTGTAGTTGCTTTGGCAGGGCCAGACCAAACGATTTCGAGGACCTTATACGGAGCTCTGGTAGTGTAGTGGTTACAAATCAGGCTGCAAACCGCAAGGTCAGCAGTTCAAAACTACCTGCTGCTACGCGAGAGAAAGATGAGGCTTTCTGCTCCTGTAAAGATTTACAGCCTCGGAAACCCTGTACAGGGTCGCTATGGGTCGGAACTGACTCGACGACACTTAACAACAACAACAATATACAGACCGTTGGCCAGAGATTCCTCACCCCTACTCTAAGATTACCTGATCTTACAGGGGTTTTGACTAGGGGCTTCTGTTTCTTATGAATACGTACGAATCACCTGGGCATCTTGTTACATTGTAGATTCGGCTTCAGGTCCCCAGCTCCCTGGTCAAAACCCCTATTGAATCAGATCATCTCATGGGTCCCAGCATTCCACGGAAAGGATCCCCAATAATCTCTTCATCTCTTCCTCCAAAGTCTTATTTTACCTAAAGGTAAAATCATCATAGGATTTCCGAGCAAAAATAGGACCTAGACAGGGGTCAGCAAACCATTGTTCATGGGTCATTCATTCACATTGTGGCTGTGCCCACCCCACACAGGCAGAGCTGAGTAGTTGTGAAAGTAACCAAATGACCCACAGAGCCTACAGTGTTTCGTCTAGACATTTACAGAGGTTTATAAACACTGTCTGAGGTCATCGAACTGTTTCTTAATTCCCTTTAAGTACAGGAACATACAATCTTGATTTTTCCTAATGTATTTTGATTTTACCTTCTTCAAGTTATTAGAAAATTTACTATCTTCAAGTTATTAGAAAATTCACAGATCATAAAGAGGCCCACTGATTTTGACTTGGCTAGGATCAGACATCTATTTAGGTGCTAAGACTGGAATCTGTCTGTCTCCAATTCTGTTTACTTCAATGCTGCTTTGCTCAGGGAGCACTGAAAACAGGTAAATGGATAAATCTAGAACATTAAATGAAAGCAATATGCAAAAAAAAGTTAAAGGATTTTTATTTTTTTAATGAGAGCTATGTGAGCAAGAGTCCTGGTGTATAATGTAAGATAATATAAGCTCTTGCTAACTTTGACAGCCATGTTGCTCATCTTGTAGCATTTTGACATGTAGGTGGGATAAGTGCTCAACCATAAGTTGGTTTGAACTGCAAGATCGGCAGTTCAAACTCACCAGCCACTCCTCGGAAACCTTATCCAGGGTCGCTATGAGTCAGAACCGACTCAACAGCACTTAACAACAACAATGTGAGCATTGGCGTCTTGGTGTGGTGCTGTAGGATAAAGCACTGGACCACAAGGTCAATTTGAACTATAAGGTCAGCAGTTGAAACTTACCAGCTGCTCCTTGGAAACCCTGTACAGGATCACTATGAGTCAGAACTGACTCAACAGAACTTAACAACAGTAACAAATGTAGACATTACCAATGCCATAATTAATCTTAAATGTATCATTTCTCCCCAGTTCAACTATGTGGAATTCACACAAAACAACCTTGCTACCCACTGGCATTTGGTGTTCCAGCTGCTCTCATGGCTGTATCTCTGAGTAAGTAGAAATCAGTTGAATTCATCTGAGCCTGTCATCAGGTCCTGGTGTGGCGCTGTGGGTGAATGCCTGGACTCCACAGTCGGTTTGAACCACAAGGTCAGCAGTTCAAATTCACCAGCTGCTCCTCGGAAACCCTATACAAGGACCCTATGAGTCAGAACTGACTCTATAGCACTTAATAACAACAATCATCAGGTCAGACCCCACGGTGCCCGTTGTGACTGATTGTAAGAGTAGATTAAAGAAGTGCTGTCATGACAATTGGTCTCTAGTCACCTGGAGCAACAGAAGGAGGTGAAGAGTCTGGAACAGCAGGAAGATAGGACTGTAGGCTAATTGGCTCTTTTGCCCTGAGACCAGAACTGTATGCTATCTGGCTACCATTGCTGAACATTTTGATCAAGGATTCTAGAGATGAATCTTGATCAAAGGGGGGGAAAATGCAGAGCAGAATTTGAAAAATTCATGAACTCCAGAGTTTATGGAGTCATGTAGAGTACATGACCCTCTAAAACTGTTGCTCTGAGATTATCTTAAAACCTGAAACCACAATTACTCCCTGAAGGCTTTTTCAAACCAAACAGTAGTTTAGCTTTAACTGTGAAAAGCTGTTTGCCATGAACATGATGCTCTTTTGTGAACTATCTCTATGAGCTCAGAAGATGACATGGGAACCTTAGGGGCCAGTGAGTTTTTGTGAATGGGGAGAAGCTACTCAGAAGAAGGAGGGTGATAATTATACAAGTTCAAGAATGCCATCAATGTCAGTGAACCGTTCATGTAGAAAGTGTTGAATGGGTGTATGTTTTGCTGAGTATCTTCTCAACTCAATAAATATGAATTGCTATCAGTGTTAAATGTGCTCTGAGTATTCAGAGTTTGCACGTTGTTTCAGAGGAAATGAGATCCAAAAACATGTTTACAGAAAAAGGAATCAACTGAGTTGAACATTTAAAGGTTTTGCTGGTATTCAGGCAGAATAAGACAAAGGGGAGACTCTAGTAAACTACATTAACCCATGGCAGAAATCTATAGTTTACAAGAAGAAACGGTAACCTGGTTTGGTTGTTGTTTAAATACTTCCCGTGAACATCTAAATTTCCATAATGGATCATTTCAAAATATTTCTACCAGTGCACAACCCCTCTGGAAGGAATACGTGAGGGGGTTCAAAAATTGCGTGGAAAATTAAATGAAAAGATAGTCAAATTTTTTCCACATACTTTTGAAGCTCCTTCATATGTGTACATTGTTGTTGTCGTCATAGAGTTGGTTCCAATTCATAGCATCCCTGTAGAAGGTTTCTGAGGCTATAAATCTCCACAGCACTTAGGAGCCAGAAGTCTCATCTGTTTGACTGAGGAGCAGCTGGTGGGCTCAGGTTGCTAACTTTGTGGTTCGCAGTCTGGTGTTTATCCGACAGAGCCACTGTGTTCAGTGTGTATTAGATGCATAAATTTGCATGTTAGTTCTTGACACTGACTTAGGAAATGTTGTTGTTGTTAAGTGCTGTCGAGTCTATTCCAACCCATAACAACCCCCATATAGGAAATGTATAGGGTCTAAAAACATGGGAGAATCTGCCTGGAACGATGATGGTCCAGGAAAGTAACAGAGCCCAAAAACCAGCTTTAGTCTCCAGAGCTGCTTCTCCCACCACGCCAAGGAGCAGTTAGCCACAATCACTTTTGGCACTCTAGGGTAACAGATCCATGATGGAAGAAGTGCAGACAGAGCACCCCCTGGAGGCCAGGATGGCCAAACTTTGTCTCTCATACTTCAGACATATAGTCAGGGGGGTCCATTCGCTGGAGAAGGATATCATGTTTGGTAGGGTGGAGGATCAGAGAAAAAGAGGAAGATCCCCAGCAAGATGGATTGACAAAGTGGCAGCATCAATGGGCTCAAGCATGGCAACAATAGTGAGGTTGGCCCAGGATCGGGCAGTGTTTCATTCTGTTGTGCATAAGGTCACTATGAGTCAGTACCGACTCGATGGCACCTAACAACAGGGTAACCACTGGACTGCTAACCACAAGGCCAGCAATTCAAACCCACCAGCCGCTCCTCAAAAACCCTGTACAGGGTCACGATGAGTCAGAACCAATTCCACAACACTTAACAACAACAGTAGCATCAAGGAGGCCCCTTGTCAATCTGTCTGCTCAGGCATTAGCAGTTTAGTTTTATCCTTGCATCTGTGCTAAAGCCCCGTATTCGATTTTCCCCTTTTTCATTTGTCCATTTCTTCCAGAATTCTTGGAATGCTGGTACACTCACTTGGAAAGCCCATGGATGCCCTGTCTTCTCTAATTTAGGGAAGCAAAACAGAGAGTACTTGAGAAAGCATTGTTCTGTATTGTGTACCAGACACTGTAGCAAGTACTTTAGACTAAATTTTTGTTTAGTCTGTACAAGTCATTCTTACATCACAGGTTATGATTTTACTTCTAAAAACATGCAAATTTATGCATCTAATACACACTGAACACAGTGGCTCTGTCGGATAAGCAGCCAAATCATAGAAATTCCTGTGTGCACCAACATTATGCTTAAATTAGGTCTCCATGCTTCAGACAAAATCCATTAAAACTATATTTGTGGACAATGACAAGAGCATAGATTCTGCCACATATAATTAAGTAAAAGCTTTAACAGATGAATCCCCCCCTTTTTTTTTTCCTCTGAAGGTTTAAAAACCAAAGCCAAAATAACTTTCTCTTACTATATTGCAGTCAGAAAATTAGAGCCCTGTGTTTTTTTTGTCTTTAGAGAATAATTTATTATTCTGGTTTGTGAAAACGTTCATTCTTTTTGTGTTCCTTTAAAGAGGAATAGCAAATGTGCTTAAATAATTGTACTGGGTGTCCATGAACTGTCCCAAGTTGTGGGCAGTAGATAGTCGTGTTGTTACATGCTGTCAAGCCAGTACCGACTCATCACATTCCTATTTAGTACTTTCAAGGCTTTAAATCTTTGCAGAAGCACAAAACCTTCTCTTTCTCCCAATAAGTAGGAAGTAGATAGTACCAAAGCTTAATATAGGTCAGAACACAAATACAACATTACTCAGAGGATCTTGTGATTGTTAATACCAAAAGCAGTTTGTAAACTTTTCTGAATCCTTAGACACTTATGGGGTAAGTACATAAACCCATTGTATTAGTAATTCCAGTATAGGCAGACCTCGGAGATATTGTGGGTTTGGTTCCAGAACACCACAATGAAGCTGACATCACAATAAAACAAAATACACAACAGTTTGGGTTTCCCAGTGAATATGAGTCATGTTAACACTCTGCTGTAGTCTAGTAAATGTTCAGTAGCATCAAATGTCCCAATATGGTGCTTGTAGGATCAATACTCAACTGCAAACCACAAGACCAGCAGTTCAAACCCACCAGCTGCTCCTCAGAAACCCCATACAGGGTTGCTGTGAGTTGGTAGCCAACAACAGAAATTAACAACAGCATTATAAAATTTTTGTTTGAAATATTATGAGAATTGCCAAAATGTGACACAGAGGTACTAAGTTAAAACATACTGTTGGAAAAATGGTGCCAATAGATGAGCCTGATGCAGGGTTACCACAAACCTTCAATTTGTAAAAAAATAAAATGAAAAATACAGTATTTGCCAAGTGCAATAAAAAAAGATACACTTGTATTTCTGCAACAAGGTTATGACTCCAATGAAAGCACATGTACAGAAAATAGTCACAGGGCGAATCTGTCAAACACCATGTAACACATCTTCTCCTGCTCTGTTTAGTTGTGTTTGTCATCGGCAGTGGAATGTACAAGAAGTTCAAGCCACAAGGCAACATCATGGCCAAAGTAGTCAAGTGCGTTGGTGTAAGTATCTCTGTAGTTCTCTGGAAATGACTTTTCATGATTCCAGAACCTTCCGCTTCCTTTCCATTCTGAATCACTGGGGCTTTGGTCTTCCTTCACACATTTCATTTGCAGCCTGAACTATTTTGATGAATTCCGGTTTCTCATAAGACACACCAAATGGATAATACAAACAAAACTCAAAGAGGGAAGTAAGAAAATGACTGTTGAGCTTAGAAAACAAGATCAATAGTCAGGGAAAAGCAAATGAAAGTGCCTTTGCCTACCATGCTGGCAGAAATGGGCTGATGTGTAAGGGAGCAGTGTAAGAAAAATGAGGTGGTACCATTTGTTTACAGTCTAAAATGTAACACGAATGAAGTATTGAAACTCTTAGGGTCAGTAATTCCATTTTTAGGAATTAAACGTCAGAAGATAATTTTTTAAACAATATAAAATGGAGACCGTTTATATATGATGGTTACCGCTGCAGTATTTCTAACTGTGAAATGCTTTTTATACTAAATTCCTAAAAGGAGAATGATGGCTACCTTATAAGTACATACATGTTGAAGGAGAAGGATGAGGCTTTCTGCTCCCATGAAGATTTACAGCCTGAAAACCCCGAAACAGGGTCGCTCCAAGTCAGAACCAACTCCATGATGCATCCTACCAGCGCCATCACGTAGTCATTGTTACTCATGCTTCAAAGAATAGTTGATGATATCTGTATGCAGAATACAGTTCTTCCATATGCATCTATGTCGTATACATACAATGTGTTCAAATTGCTTCTGTCGTATAGCAACCCTGTACATGGTTTTAGAGGCTTTAAATCCTCACAGGAGCAGAAACCCTCATCTTTCTCCCATGGAGTGACTGGCAGGCTCGAACCACAGACCTCATGGTTCATAGTCCAGTACTTAGCGTATGGAACCACTGCACTCCCCGGATATATAATCAAAACAAAACCCCCACAGTCTGCAAGTTGACTCCAACTCATAAAGACCCTAAAGGACAAAGCAGAGTTGCTTCACAGGGTTTCCAAGGCTGTCCTTTGTATGGCAGCAGACTGATACATCTTTCTCCATGGGGTGGTAGGGATGTGCCGCTGAGTCAGTTCCGACTCATAGCAACCCTGCACAGGGGTTCCGAGGCTGTAAATCTCTATGGGAGCAGAAAGCCTCATCTTTCTTCGGCGGAACAGGCTGTGACCTTATGGTTCGCAGCCCGATTCGTAACCACTATGCTACCAAAGCTGGGTTCAAGCCATAAAACGATATTCAATTCAGTTATTTGAACACCTTTAAGTTTGTCTGGAACAACTTAACTATGTAAATCTAGTGCTTCAAAGATTAAAATATTTCTGTTAAAAATTTAATATCTATAGGGGTCACAGTTATGGAAACTTCTTAGACATATGCAAACACCTCATGAGACTGAGTTACTAGACTTAAAATGTACCAGACGAAGGACTGTAGTCTTGAGGGGGCATCTAGGTCAATTGTCATAACATACTTTGCAAAGACAATGTTCTACATCCTAGTTTGGTGAGTAGAGTCTGTGATCTTAAAAATTTGTGAATAGCCATTTAAGGTACAACCATTATCTCTTCCTGGCTGGAACAAAAGGAGAGTAAAGGAGACCAAGGAAGCAAGTAGTCCACAGGACAATGGCCCACAGGAACTACAGCCTCCTCTAGTATGAGACCAGAAGAACTAGATGGTACCTGTTACTATGACCAACTGCTCTGACCAGGGACACAAAAGAAGGTCCTGGTAATAACAGGAGAAAAATATGGAACAAAACTCAAATTCATATGAAAGACCAGACTTACTAGACTGAAGAGACTAGAAGGACCATTAAGACTGTTGTCCTAAGATACCCTGTTACTCTTTTAATCTGGAACTGAGGGTCACATCTCAGCCAAATACAAAATTGAATCAGCAGCTATATTAGACCAGCGGGCAACATTTGCCCAAAAGCAAAGATGAGAAGGCAAGGAGGAGGCAAGGAAAGTGGAGGGCTGGACACTCAGAAGGCAGGGAGAAAACGGGGGGAGAATTGACACATTGGAGAGACAGCAACCAACATCATGGAACAACTTGGGTATAAACTTAATTTACTGTGTAAGCTTTGACCTAAAACACAATAAAATGTTTTTAAAAAATTAGTATCCAAATTGAGATATGCAATAACTCCATTAAGAAATATTGTGGTGCTATAGCATAAGCACTGGACTACTTACCATAAGGTCGGCAGTTCAAACCCATCAGCCACTCTGCAAGAGACAGTGCTGTGCTCCTGTAAAGATGTCGAACCAGGAATCCTACAAAATTGCTACAAGTTGGAGTCAACCCACTGGCAGGGGGTTTGGGGTGTTTTCTTTTGGGTGTAAGTATAAAATACACCCTGGATTTTGAATACTTAGTGTGAAAATGTAGAGCCCTGGTGGCATCGTGGGTTAGTTGCTGGACTGCTAGCTAAAGGTCAGCTGTTCAAATCCACCAGCAGCTCCACAGGAGAAAGATGAGACTATCTACCCCTGTAAAGACTTACAACCACTGAAACCCTACGTTGTTGTTGTTAAGTGTCATGGAGTCAGTTCCGATCCATAGCGACCCTGTATAGGGTTACAAGGAGCAGCTAGTGAGCTTGAACTACCAATCGTGCGGTTCAAACAGACTTTGCAGTAAGAGCATTAACCCACAGTGCCACACCAGGTCTCTGAAACCCTTCATAAGCCTCTATAAGTCAGAATCAACTTGATGGCTGTGTGTAGGAGCATGAAAAAAAATTTATATAAATGTCCTCATTAAATATTTTTATATTGATTACATGTTGAAATGATGTTTGGAGTTTATTGGGATAAAATATGTTTAAAATTAATTTCACATAGTTCATTTTTTCCTTTTTAATATGCCTGCTAACCCAAAAGAAGTCCCAGTACGGTACTGTAGGAATAACACTCAACTGTAAGGTCGGTTTGTACTGCAATGTCAGCAGTTCAAACTCACCAGCCACTCCTTGGAAACCCTATCCAGGGTCACTATGGGTCAGAATCGACTCAATGGCACTTAACAACAACAACAACAACAACAACCCAGTAACCTGCCATTTAGTCTATTTCAACTCATAATGATCCTGTATAGAGTTTCCAAGGCTGAAAATCTTTATAGGAGCAGAAAGCTTCATCGTATCCTATGGCACTATATGGCTGCTAGAGAACAAATTACAAATGTGCCTGTTAAATTTGTTCTTAAATGTGGTGTTAAATTTCTAACACACACACTGCCCTATAGGACCTGTAGAAGAGATATGACATTTGTGACTTTGCCTGCCCCAGCTCAAATACGCTTGGTTAGAAGACTCTAGAAAGGAACATGTCTACTCTGACTTTTAACATACTCGATGTACCGGCATATTAGTAGAAGTCTTATATTTTTGCTTTTCTCACAAATGTTTATTTTTCCCTGAAAAGGAGTTTAATTACAATGTGCGTTCCTGTACTTGATTCTCAGATGAAATGACCTCTTTTTCTTCCTTTCCTCAGTTTGCCATCAAAAATAGGTTTAGGCATCGGAGTAAGGAATTTCCAAAGCGGGAACACTGGCTGGACTGGGCTAAAGAGAAATATGATGTAAGTAATTAATAATTGCTAAACAGCCCCAATTCATCTCCCTCTAGAAAGTGAAAACCCAGACTCAATTTATCATAGTAAGTGTGGTTGTTAAGTGCCCTTGAGTCAGTTCCGACTCACAGAGAACCTGCATAGAGTTTCTAAGGAGCAGCTGGTGGGTTAAAACTGCAGACCTTGTGGTTAGCAATCCAGTGCTTATCCTGCAGTGCCACACCAGGACTCCAGTATTACCTTTACATGAACAAAATCTTCAGGTTTACCCTCAACATTTATTAGCATTTTAAATAATATTACATGTTGTTGTTAAGTGCCGTCAAGTAGATTCCAACTCTATTTAAGATTTCTGAGGTTTAAAATCTTTTCAGGAACAAAAAGCCTCATCTTTTTCCCACGTTGCGCCTGGCAGGCTCGAACCTTGGACCTTGTGATGTGCAGTCAAGTGCATAGTGTATGCTGTTATTGTTGTTAGTGTTTTAGTACCATCTCATAGCAACCTTATGCACAACAGAACAAAGTAATGCCTAGTCCTGTGCCAACCTCACAATCATTGCTACATTTGAGCCCATTGATGCTGCCACTTGGCCAATCCATCTCATTGGGGATCTTCCTCTTTTTCTCAGACCCTCCACTTTACCAAACATGATATCCTTCTCCAGGGATCAGTCCCTCCTAATGATATGTGCGATGTATGAGAGATAAAGTCTGGCCATCCTGGCTTCCAAAGAGCATTCTTACTTACTTCTTCTAACACAGATTGGTTTGTTCTTTTGGCAGTCCAAGGTGCTTAATATTCTCCAACACCATAATTCAAATGCATCACCTCTTCTAAGGTCTTTCTTATGTACTATCCAACTTTCACATGCATATGTGGTTATTGAAAATACCATGGCTTGGGTCAGGGTCCCTTAGTCCTCAAACTGACATCTTTCTCTCGAACACTTTAAAAAGGTCTTGTGTAGCAGATTTGCCTAATGCAATACGTCATTTGATTTCTTGACTGCTGCTTCCATAAGTGCTAAGCAAAATGAAATCTTTGACTTCAGTCTTTTCTCCATTTATATGGATGCTGTTTATTGGGCCTATGGTGAGGATTTTCGTTTTCTTTACATTGAGGTGCCATCCATATGGAAATCTGTGATCTTTGATTTTCATCAGTAAGTATTTTAAGTCCTTTGCACTTTCAGCAAGCAAGATTGTATCATCTGCATATCGCAGGTTGTTAATGAATCTTCTTCCAATGCTGATGCCATGTTTTTCTTCATATAATCCTTTTTCTCAGATTATGTGCTCAGCACACAGATTGAATAAATATGGTGAAGGAATGCCATATTTAACCTTGGCCCCAGCTTTCCTAATTTTAAACCTTTTGATATTTCCTTGTTCTGTTAGAACAACTGCCTCTTGGTCTATATACAGGTTCCTCATGAGCACAATTAAGTGTTCTGGAATACTCTTTCTCACAATATTGTCCATAGCTTGTCATGATCCACACAACTGAAAGCCTTTGTATAGTCAGTACAGCACAGGTAAACATCTTTTGGTTTTCTCTTCTCTCTGCCAAGATCTATATGACATCAGCGATAATATCCCTTGTTCCACGTCCTCTTCTGATTCCAGCTTGAGCCTCTGAAAATTTTCTGTCAATGTGCTGTTGCAGCCATTGTTGAATTATCTTTAGCAAAATTTTACTTGCAAGGGATATTAATGACATTTTCCAATGAAGTCTGAATTCTGTGAGGTCACCTCTCTTTGAAATGGGCACAAATATGAATCACTTCCATTTAGTTGGCCAGGTAGTCGTCTTCGAAATCTCTTGGCATAGATGAGTGAGTGCCTTCACTTTGTTGAAATATTTCAATTTGTACCCTATCAATTCCTGGACCCTTGTTCTTTGCCAATTCCTTCAATGTACCTTGGACTTCTTCCTTCATTATTATTGGCTCTTGATCATATGCTAACTATTAAAGTGGTTGAACATCAACCATTTCTTTTTGGTACAGTGACTCTGTGTATTCCTTCCACCTCCTATGATGCTTTCTGCATCATTCAATATTTTTCCCAGAGAATCTTCCAATATTGCAAGTCGAAGCTTGAACTTTTTCTTCAATTCCCTCAGCTTGAGAAATGCTGAGTGTGTTCTTCCTTTTTGGTTTTCTAACTCCAAGTCTTTGCACATTTCTTTATAATATTTGACTTTGTCTTCCTGAGTTTACCCCTGAAATGTTCTATTCAGCTCTTTTACCTCTTCATTTCTTCCATTTGCTTTAGCATCTCTATGCTGGAGTACAAGTTTCAGTCTCTTCTGACATCCATTTTGATCTTTTCCTTCTTCTTGTCTTCTTATTGACCTTTTGCTTTCTTCCTGTCTGATGTTCTTAATGTCATCCCACCACTCATTTGGTCTTCTGTCTTTAGTGTCTAATGCATCAAATCTGTTATTCAGATGACCTCTTGATTCAAGTGGGATATGTTCAAGGTTATATTTTGGCTCTTGTGGACTTGTTCTCATTTTCTTCAGCTTCAGCCTGAACTTACATTGGAGCAATTGATGGTCTGTTCTACAGTCTGCCTGTGGCCTCATTTTGGCTGATGATTTGGAGCTTTTCCACCATTTCTTTCCACAGTTGTAATCAATTTGATATCTGTGTATGCCATCTGGTAAGGTCCATGTGCATAGTCGTCTTTTATGTTGTTTAGAAAAGGTATCTGCAATGAAGAAGGTTTTGGTCTTGCAGAATTCTATCATGAGATCTCTAGCATTGTATCTATCATCAAGACCATGTTTTCCAACTACTGAGCCTTCTTCTTTGCTTCCAACCTTTGTATTCTACTCACTAGTAATTATCAATACATCTTAAGTGCATGTTTGATCAATTTTAGACTGAAGAAGTTGGTAGAATTCTTCAATTTCATCATCACTGGCTTTAGTGGTTGGTGTGTAAATTTGAATAATAGTTGTATTAACTAGTCTTCCTTGTAGGCATATGGATATTATCCTATCACAGACAGTGTTGTACTACAAGACAGATCTTGATACGTTCCTTTTGATGATGAATGTGATGCCCTGCATAGTAAACCTCGTGATTGTCAGATTCAAAATGGCCAATACCAGTCCATTTCAGCTCACTAATGCTATCGATGTTTAAGTGTTCCATTTCATTTTTGACAATTTCCAATTTTCCTAGATTCATACTTCATACATTCCATGTAAACACAAAGGATGTTTACAGCTGTTTCTCTTCATTTGGGGTTTTGCCCCATCTGCAAATTGAGGTCCCTAAGGTTTTACTTCATTCTCCTCATGATCAGCTCTACTTTGAGGAGGCAGCTCTTCCCCAGTTGCATTTTGAGTGTCTTCCAACCTGAGGGGCTTATCTTCCAGCACTGTATTTAACAATACTCTGGTGCTCTTCATCATGTTTCAGTATTCAATATTCTAGTGCATTCTGACAGTGTTCCACTGCTATTCATAAGGATTTCAGTGACTAAATATTCAGAAGTAGTCCATCTCTCCTTCTTCCTAGTCTGTCTTCATCTGGAAGCTCAGCTGAAACCTGTCCACTGTGGGTGATCCTGCTGGTATTTAAAATTCCCATTGTATAGCTTCCAGATTCACAGCAACATGCAAGTGACCTCAGTATGACAAACTGACACATGAATGGTGGGCATACTGTGGTGTTGTTGTTGTTGTTATGTGCCATGGAGTCGGTTCCGACTCATAACAACCCTGCACAGCATGAGGCTGTAAATCCTTATGGGAGCAGAAAACCTCCTCTTTCTCCCGCATAACAGCTGTTAATTTCGAACTGTTGACCCTGAAGTTAACAGCGCTATTAGTAACCACTATGCTACCAGAGCTCCTCTTAATTAGATGTAATTGCATTCATGGGCTTCAGTAAGTATAAGAGTAAGTGATTTGGGGGAGAGAAGAGTCTTGAATTTTAGTAATTTTGCCTCCTACATAGGTGTTTTAATTCATATTTTAGATATCCTGGGGATTTTCCCTTTCAAAAGGAGCCTGTGGTGATGATGTTTCCTTGAGATAATTAATCCCTTCCTGGTTTATCTAGAGATGCAGACATTCCTTCACTAAGTAGCAGTCACAGTGCATCTCAGCTGCAAGTGATGACAGTGACGACTAACTTGTATCTCCTCCGCCCCAACTGCAGGAACGGCTCATCGCTCAAATTAAGATGGTTACAAAGGTGATGTTCCTGTATATTCCTCTCCCAATGTTCTGGGCATTGTTTGATCAGCAGGTAATGTGAAACTATGTTTCTGTACTTCTATGGGCACCACTATGGACCAAGCAGGGTTAGCACTTAGCTCTTACAATGTTCTCTTCGGGTTTCTCTCAGGTATTCCATTTACTTGACAATTGTTAGAGCATATTGAATCTTTTTGTAAAATACCAATTCTAGGTGTTGCAAAGCAATGTAGAAAACCATGTATTGTCAAGTAGAGTTGCCTTGTGAAAGATTTGATCAAAGCTTTTGGGAATTGTTGCCAATCAAAATTGACAGCAATTTTGTTTTTCAACTGATGCAGCAGAGTAAAAGGGATATTGCCTTTCAGGGGACCCAAAAAATATTTAAACTGAGAAGGGATTGATATTGCCTACTGTAAAATGGGCACACCCGGGCTAGAGCAGGTGCCTGGGGCTGTTTAATGTCCTCGGGTGTGTTCCTTCTACCACAGCTGTGAGAAATCTGACTGAGACATTTTCAAAATCATACATATTAGACAACTTAATTCATGATGCTCAGTACAACATACTGTTGCTTTTAGAAACTGGAATTTAAAAAAATATCTATGGACATCTTTTTATTGTACAGGAAAGATTACAAGAAGGGTGAACACTCTATCTCTTTGAAGTAATTTGAGTTTATGTATTAATCTCTTTATTTGTAAGACTGGTATTTAGACATGCATCTTAAGGACCAAGGAGGCAGTCTTGTATGGTTCTTAGCAGCCAGCTATGGGAATCACACGTGCAGTGGAAACATATTCCATTACCTAATAGCTGTGTGAGCTGCAGTAAAGGCTTATTCAATTAGTCCTCTTTAGAAATAATCATATACAGTCCTGGGACATCTTTTATGATGTTGTTAAGTGCTTTTGAGTCAGTTCTGACTCATAACAACCCTATATAGACTTTCTGAGGAGCAGCTGGTGAGTTTGAACTGCCAACCTTATGGTTCAAACCAGCCTTGCAGTTCAATGCTTATCCTACCTACAATGCCACGCCAGGACTCCATCTTTTATTATGTTGCTGTTATTGTTGTTGTTAAGTGCTGTCAAGTCAGTTCTGACTCATAATGACCCTGTGTAGGGTTTCCAAGGAGCAAATGCTGAGTTTGAACCACCAGCCTTGCAGTTCAAACCAACCTTACGGTAACTAGGCTATCCAGGTTTAAACCCACCATACTCTTGATAGAGATCAGCTCTAGGATAGCTAGTTGTTCAGTGCCAGAGTCTGTTCCAACTCTTGGCAACCCTATATAGTGTTTCCAAGGAGTGGCTGATGGGTTTGAACTACCGACCTTGTGGTTATCAGTCCAGTGCTTATCCTAGACTACACAGACCATCAAAAATGACTCCGAACTACAACAATGTACTTGAAGCAATGCCACCAGTGAGTATAAGACAACCTTGAACCTCAGTGTAAGGAGCTGCTCTCTCCTTACAGATGTCATGGTTGCCAACAAGTCTCAGAAATGCATTTCCCTATTTCCGGAATATAGCTTTATCCCACAATACTTCTCTATCCACAGTACTGCTCTTCCTGAGAACTTAGGGCACAATAGCATTGTGAGTTATTTCTAGTGCCCAGGATTATAATGAAATCAGGAGACTAATTTGATATTAAATAAGAAGCCCGCAATAGTTCAGACCTCATTCCTGACTTGGAAAGGGCTCACCATTGACTTGTAAAACTTTCATAGTCCCTGTTCTTAAATGATGCGGTCAATTTCCTTGTTTTTCAGGGCTCACGGTGGACACTGCAGGCCACAGCTATGAGTGGAAAAATGGTAAGTTTAAGAGATGAAGGTATTTCACCTTCCCTCATTCCCATTCCTTTATTTTAGTCCCTTTGTCCCCTCTCTCCCATGTTATTCCCAACTCCCATAACCAATCATCTGTAAGAGATTGTCAATGACATTTCTTCTTTCTTTTCAGGGAGCTATTGAAATTCAGCCAGATCAGATGCAGGTAGGGGAATGTATTTAAGTTGCTCTCAGAAATCAGTCACATTCGAGACAAAGATGAACTTTCTCTCCCTACTTCATCTCTAGACCGTGAATGCCATCTTGATCGTCATCATGGTCCCCATTGTTGATGCTGTCGTCTATCCACTGATTGCGAAATGCGGTTTCAATTTCAGGTCGGAAAGTTCTTGGTTTAATTGGGGTGAAGCTCCCTTAGTCCTATCGCTCTTCAGATAGGCTGTGTTCTCTAAGCTTCTGGGGCTTCACTGTAAAGAGTTTCTGTATCTTTTCATTGCTGTGGCAGTGTTGGATAAGCATTGGACTGCTAACTACAAAGTCAGCAGTTCAAAGCCACCAGCCACTCTTCGGAAACCTATACAGGGTCCCTATGAGTTGGAACCAACTTGATGGCAATTAACAACAATATCACCTATAGAAGGAGGTTCTATTCAGGAATTCAAGAGATGTATTTGACTTAAGCAGATATTTGCATACTGATGGACTCTGAAAACGCTCTTTAAAAAAGTGCAATTAATGATAGCCTGAAAAAGTTTTAAATTAAGTTTCCCTTATAAGGTAGGTGGCTCAAGCTCACCACTCGCTCCTTGAAACCCTATACAGGGTCACCATGGATTGGAACCGACTCCACGGCACTTAACAACAATATATATGTGGTGGTATTATGTGCCATGGAGTCAGTTCCAACTCATAACTACCCTATACAGGGTTTCCGAGTCTGTAAATCTTTATGGGAGCAGAAAGCCTCTTCTTTCTCCAGCAGAACAGCTGGTAGTTTCAAACTACTGACCTTGCAGTTCGCAGCCCGATTCATAACCAATATGTAGATGATGTAACTGTTAACTGTAATTCTGTATATTGCCTGAATTTGAGTTTATTGAAAGTCAGTGTAAAAATACAAAGATGAAGATGTTTTACATTTCCATTCCTTAGACTGCATCATAAAAAGTAGAGGGAGAGATGCTTTGAATTCCGTGTATTTTATAGAAAAGTTACCTTTGGGAGATTCATGGGTATGAAGTTTGTATTTGAGGAGACTATGGATCTTTTAAGGATCCCTCATGGGAGAAGCACCACGCTGCTAACTGCAAGGTCAGCAGTTCAAACCCACCACGTGCTCCATAGGAGAAAGATGAAGCTTTCTACTCATATAAAGATTTACAGCCTTGCAAAACCTATACAGGGTAGCTGTAAATCAGGACCAACTCGAGGCAGTGAGGAGTGGCTCTTTTGTGTGAGAATGGTTGAGAATCACTCTCCATTTGTCTTGAACCAGCTCCCTGAAGAAGATGACAGTTGGAATGTTCCTGGCTTCCATGGCCTTTGTGGTGGCTGCCATTGTACAAGTGGAAATTGATGTGAGTTGGCTTCTGAATCTTGAGTGTCTTCTCCTCTGGGTTTAGTTGGAATAGTCAGAATCCCCCTTTCTCCATGACTGGAAGAAGTAGGGGAAGCCAGGATATTTTCCTACAAACTAGGCCCTGTAGTGATGGGTGGTGTGAAGAAATGGATGAAATACCTCTACTTCTCACTTATCAACTGTCTTGTTATCTGACATTTGTATTATGACCATTATAAAAGAATCTAATAGCCAACTATTTAGCTCATTAACAACATCATCTGGCAGTAATGAATGCCAAGGTGCGAGGCAAGACTTGAATTGCTGTGATGGTTAAGATTATGTGGCAAAGCGGCTGGGCCTAGAGTCTCAGATTGGCAGTTATGTAACTATGTAATTTGGCAGCTGTGTAATGATGTCGTTGTCCTTCATTTTGTGATCTGATGTGAACAGTCTTCATTTTCATATAACGCCGATTTTTCTCACAAAGACATGGTCGATAACTGAGGAGTGTACTTCCTTTTAGTCACTGTACACGATAAATTCTTATCACTGCAAAGAATACAGCTGGGAATGTGAACAAATGAGAAAGTTTAATTGGGAGAGAAAGTAGATAACAGTAACACAAATTGCCTCAGTTTATTATACGGTTGTTTTGTTTTGTTAACAGAAGGGAGGTTTGTAGAACTTGTTCCTTTGCAATCTAAATACCTAGTGAATCTGTTGAAAAGAAATACATCACTTACAAACAGGCAGCACTTCAAAAATTTGTAAATTGTTCTTTTGATGGAAAAACACATTTTCATTCTAATGATTCTCTTGATGATTAGCTCCTAAACTCAACCACACACAAAACTAGGGACCCAAAATAGGGCACAACTAGGCTTATAACAATATTAGTTTAAGATTAAGGTCTAGAAAGAGGGCATTCTGTTGTATGTAAGAAAAAAGACGTGAAGACTTTGTTTGCGTTTTCTTTTGTGTGGTTCAGGCGGGGTGTGGAGCTAGCTTTGTAGAAGACAGGTCAAAGCAGACATGGACTATTTCAGTGACATTGGGATTTGAGAGAAGGCATTGTAGGAAAAAGACTAAAACTCTGAGCAAATGATAGTAGATGCAGAAGGACATAAAACATCTGTGAGAGGATGTGCCGTGCACTGTGACCAGACACCCAGACTTACAGAAAACGTGGTTGGCATCCGGTGATAACAGATCTCACATGCCACAATAAGGACATGAGCTGAACAAGGCATCATGGGCTGTTGGAAGATCATGGGTAAAGACCCATGTCATTGGGGGTGATTACAGGTGACTACCATGTACACAGAGGCCCTGCTGACAAAGACCAGTCAGAGACCAACTGTTTTCAGAGGTCACTGGGTACTCCCTTAGAAAGGAAGCGTGTTTAGCCTGAAAAAATGAAAGAAGTAGATAACTAAAGAACAACTCCTTCTCTTTCCCTCGCTGCCCCCTTTAAATGTCCCTAACTTTTGTTACTATCACAGCACTTGTCCTTGTTTTCCAGGCCTGGGATATTGTTATTGGTTGGTGAGTCGTCTCTCTCACTCCTCGCAGTTTAAAGTCCAATTGTTGAAGTCGTATCAAAAGTCCTCTATGACTCTCTCAAGTCCCCTATGTCAGATTGTCACTGGTCCAGTGCAGGAAGAGGCAGTAGCTCCTCTATGCCTTGGATCTGTGTCTGTCCAGTTTTCCTTTCATTCTCCCCAAGATGAACCTTCCTTAGCAGCTCTGATCATATGCCATTCCTATCTTAAAGCCAAAATCGCCAGTAGTGCCTTGTTACTGTCTTTAGAATAAAAACTAAACTCCTCAGCCTGACATTCAAAGAGTTCTACCAGAATTTCTCCACCTTTGCATTTACTGACACTGTGAGCAGGATAATTGTTTGCTGCGGGGACTGCCATGTGCATTGTAGGACAACTCCAGCCCACACATGAGATACCAGTGGTACTCCCTGTCCATCATTGTGACAACCAAAATGTCTCCAAACAGTGTCCAATGTGCCTTGCCAGGCATAATGCTCCCTAGTGAAGCACCAGTGGACTGGACACTGGTTCACCTAACCTTTTCAACGTGACCATCATTACTTCCTCTCACGGTGACCAAGTCCACTGTCTTCCAACCATATTTTGATCTCTTCTTTGTCTATGTTCTACTTAAAATAGCTCCCTTTCCTGATTCTCAGTTTTTGGGATATTATATGCCTACATAAAAAGAGGAAGACCCCCAACAAGATGGATTGGCCAAGTGGCAGCATTGATAGACTCAAGCGTGGCAGCAGTAGTGAGGTTGGCCCAGGATCGGGCAGTGTTTCATTCTGCTATGCATAAGATAACTATGGATCAGTACCGACTCAATGACACCTAACAACAACAACACCGTATGCCTACACATCGGTGACCATTTAAGGTCCACCTGAAATGCCACCATTTCTTCCCAGATTCCTCCTTGGTTCCTTACCTTTGTACCCCTTCACTTCAAGATACTCTCTACACTGAAGTTGCAGCATAGATTATCAGCACTTGTCCCTTTGCTAGCACACCAAACATCACTTTCAACTTTGTTCTAGAATACATACATGTGACATCGTGGCTACAGGGACCTGGCACCCTGTCTGATTCATGCTTTCAACCTCCACAACATTTACTGCAGTTCTATGTGCATGTTCAGGGTCATCCACTGGGTACTCACCAAATGAAAGGTTAAATGAACATGTGGCTATGAAACGAGGGGGCTTCAGAAAGTTTGCAGAAAATAGAATGAAAAGATAATGGCATTTTCACCACGAACTTTCGGAAGTCCTTCATCACCTAGGATACGCTTCCTGTCAGTATTAATTGGAATAGAAGTACAGGGGAAAGTCGCTACTCTCTCTGGCTTGGCAAAGCTGGGTCCGTTTGCTGTAGTCACTGTCTAGAACGGATGGGAGCAAAGTGCTGTCGGGTCAGTGATGCGATCGGTTGCTGAGCCCCAGAAAACTCAAGAATGGGAAGAGAAGAGCTGTAATCACATCACAGAGAAAGATAATTTGGTTGCTGAGCTCTTCGATGTATACAGGCGCAACTCGCTTTAGAACACTCCACTTTATTGCACCGTGCAGGCAGATCCTGGGTTTGGTTTTGTTCTGTTTTTTAACACATTGAACGTTTGTGGCAAGCCTTCAATGAGCACATCTATCAGCGCCATTTTCCAATGGCGTGTGCTCACGTCGTGTCTCTGTGTCACATTTTGGTGAGTCTCACAAGATTTCTAGGGTTTTCATCGGGCTATTGCACACCCGGAAGTGTCAGAATGACTTTTATCTGCCTGGGGAACCCAAAAGTTTGTGTGACTTGCTTTATGGCAACACTTGCATTATTGTGGTGGTCTGGAACTCAGCTTGTGATCCTCAGAGGTACAGCCGCAGGGCGTTACTTCTGTCCCCAGGCATAGCCAAATCAAGTAAGTGTGCTGTGATGCACGTAGAGTTGTGTGACGTGTAGTGTTTCTCTTTTTTTGTTTTATTCCTTGGAGCCTCACCCTGTTTCTTTAAGGGTTATCTCATGCTCCTCTATTCTGTAGCTTCTCATTCCAGTGTCCCTGGGGCGAAGGGCTCCTCTTTTTCCTCTCTCCAAACCCTAGCCTAGCTCTTGAAAAGCTTCCAGCATATTCTCTTAGCTGCCTCATTGGACGTCAATCTCCATGTGTTACAAGTTACCCAGTTGGAGGTTCCAAGACAACACCTAACTTCAGCAGTTCAGTCGGAAGGCTTACAGGATCCAGCATGACGCCATACTCACAACTGTGATTTATTACAGCAACAACAAACCCAGATCACAGAAGGGGAGAGTGCATGGGGAAACCAGGTGTCAGCTTCCACGAGTCCTCTCCCCTGGAAGTCACATAGAAAAACCCACCACCAGTGAGTCGGTTCCCATTCTTAGTGACCCTATAGAATGAGTCAGTTCTCACTCCTGGTGACGCTTTAGAACAGAGCAGAACTGCTACTTAGGGTTTCCAAGACTACAGATCTTTATGGGAGCAGACTGCCTCATCTGTCTCCTGTGGAGCAACTGGTGGGTTTGAACCGCTGACCCTACAGTTAGCAGTGGTTAACCCACAGTGCCACCAGGGCTTCGTTTGGAGTCACACCGGACATGTCTAATTCCTCCAGCAGCAATTGTAACAATCCATGTGAAGTGTTTCTACCAGAGCAGCTCACCGGAGCCTACGAGTCTAGTTTCTATTGGACACCAAGCCACACAGGCGCCCGATAGCCAGTTCAGACCCAAATTCCAGATTCCCAGAAGCAAGTCAAGGATTCCACATAAGCCATATTGTGCAGATAAACAGTTTAGGGTCCTTGAGCCACTCTTATCAGTTCTGGAGATGGCGGGAATTCTCGAAAGTTCCAGGTTCCCAGATGTCAGTCAAGGACTAAGTTTGTAAGCAGGCCTTTTAAAAGATAGTAGTCTCAGGCCTGCTGTTATTTATTTTCTGCACACTTATGATGTGGTTGTTGCTAGGTGCCATTGAGTAGGTACCAACGCATAGCTACCCTATGAGCAACAGAACGAAACACTGTCTGGTCCTGCGCCCACCTCACCATCGTTGCTATATTTGAGCCCATTGCTGCTGTCACTGTGCCAGTCCTTCTCCATTGAGGGTCTTTCTCTTTTTCTCCAAGCCTCCACTTTACCAAACATGAGGTCCTTCTCCAGAGACTGGTTCCTCTTAACAATATGTCCAAAGTATGAAAGACAAAGTCTAGCCATCCTGGCTTCCAGGGAGCATTCTAGCTGTACTTCTTACAACACAGATTGGTTTGTTCTTTTGGCAGTCCATGGTACTTTTGATATTCTCCTCCAACACAACATTTGAGGTTCAAATGCATCAAATGCACACTCTGATGGACATTCATAATTTTCATGAAGGATGACACTAATTTAGGTTGTGGTTACTCTGGTCCCCTCAGGTACTGGGCTCCATCACTCAGCAGCCTTCTCCCAGGAGGTGCCTAGAATGGAGCAGGAGCAGCCTCATTGTGACTTCTTCTATGTTCTATACAGATAGGATTTTCTGTAGGTGCTATGGTGAGAACGGTTGGTAAGCACTACTCCCTGGTACCATGCTTAGTAAGGAAAGTGTAGTTCACCTCCGTCAACACAGGCTTTCCTGGCTAATTGACAAGTGTCTCCAATGTCAAGGTTAAGCTTATCTTTAATGATGCACTGACGAGCTCCCTGTCAATTTTTGTTTCTTTTGCTCAGAAAACTCTGCCAGTCTTCCCTAAAGGAAACGAATTCCAACTGAAGGTACTGAACATAGGGAATAACCCCATGAATGTATCATTTTCTGGAGAAATCACGACACTTAGCCCCATGTCCCAGGTGAGTAGAGTGAAATGCAACCTTCACTTTGTCTTCTGAGCTGATTTAGAATAACATTTGCAAAAGTTCTTCTTGGTCTTATGCAAATCTCAAGCCTAACCCACATATAAAGTGTCTTAGTATCTTGATCTTATTTTATCTTCACTCGTACTATTGTTGTTACATGCTCTTGTGTCAATTCGGACTCATAGTGACCCTGTGTAGGGTTTCTGAGGAGTAGCTGGTGGGTTTGAACCACCAACCTTGTGGTAAACAGTCCAGTGCTTATCCTACAGCATCACACCATGACTCCATCTTCATTCTAGACCAACCCAAAAAATCAAACCCGCATCAAGTGGACTTTGACTCATATTGACCCTACAGGACAGACTAGAACGGCTCCATAGGACGTCATAGACCCTCAATCTTTATGGGAGACTGCCTCATACTTCTCCCAGAGAGTGGCTGATGGGTTCAGACGGCCAACATTTTGGTTAGTAGGAGAATGCTTAGCCTACTGCACCACCAAGGCCCCTTTGCTCCAGACCTGTGTGCCTCAAACTTGAATTTGTATAATAATCACCTGGGAAGCCAGCTAAAATACAGATTCTTAATGAGTAGTTCTGAAATTCTGCATCTTTAACAAGGTCTTGGGTGATGATGAGGTTTCTGCTAATCCATTTGTTGTTGTTAAGTGCCATAGAGTTGGTTCTGACTCAGAGCAACCCTGTATAGGGTTTCCAAGGAGCAGCTGGTGAATTTGAACCACTGACCTTGTGGTTCAAACCAACCTTGAAGTTCAGTGCTTTCTTCCAGAACACTGCACCAGGACTGCATGACACCAGGCTTTAACATCAAGGATTTTGGTTAATGGTTCTTAACTTGGGGTGATTCCCGCCCCCTCCCAGGGAACATCTGGCCATCTCTGGAAACATTATGTTTGTCGTGACCAGATTGCTCTGCTGCTATCTTGCATGCTGCTGAACATCCTATAGTACACAGGACAGAACACAACAAAGGATTCTCCAGTCCAGAATATCAATAGTGCTGAGCTACATGTTGGCATTGTTGACAAGGTGTAGATTAGGTTGAAAAACCCAAATTCAAATGATCATTGGTAACTACCACTGGTACACATTGGAATCATCATCTGGAGAGTTTAAACAATTCTGATGCCTGGATCCCATCCTTGGAGATTTGTATTGAATTAGTCTCATTCCTGTTCAGCCACAATTGAGAACCGGTGTGGCACTGTGGGTCAATGCGCCAGACTGCAAATCTGTTTGAAGTACAAGGTTGGCAGTTCAAGCTCACCAGCTGCCCCTCAGAAACACTATACTGGGTCGCCATGGGTCAGAACTGACCCGACAGCACTTAACAACAACAACGCCTTAGATCTTGGAGTTCTGGAGTGACGCTGTGGTTAATGTGCTGGATTACAATGCCAGTTTGAACCACAAGGTCGGCTGTTCAAGCTCACCAGCCATTCCTCAGAAACCCTATACAGGGTCGCTGTGGGTCAGAACCTACTCGACGGCACTTGATAACAACAAATACCAAACTAATGACCTTGAAGAGAGAGGAAAACCCCGCCTCTGGTTTCTGGAGTGTGAGGCAAACTGGTATTGTTTTTCCAAAGGCTGTTCCTTTTCTTTTGATGCTGTTCCTAGCCTAATGGTAGAAATCATTTCAATATAAAACAAAGTAAAAATAAAATACATAATATAACATCATTTCTGCAGCCATCCTTATAATACTTCATGATGCTGGGTAAGAGGCTTAGGCAAGCACATGCAGTACCCTAAACACATCTGGATGTGTTTGAACATGAGTTTGGACTGTTGAACAATGTGAATTCCACAATGCAGAACAAAACTCCAGAGGGGCTTCCATCATACTAACTGTGACTCCTTTCACCCCTGTAGACAGATGGATTTAAGACGTTTGATATAAGCAAGCTACCAACTATCAGCATTTCTTCTGCTGGCTCACCAGAGACTTCAGTCGCTTACAACTTTGAGAAGGGCCATCGTCACACCCTGCTCGTGTGGGGCTCCAACGAGTACCACGTGGTAGGTAGCTGGATACTTACAACCGACTCTACTGTTGGTGACCCAGCTTCATAGTGGTGTGACTTTGTTTCACCCCAATGCATTGGTAATTCAGCTGGTCGTCAATTTCTTTCTTCTTCAAGAATGTTGTTGTTAGGTGCCATCATTTTGGTACCAACTCATAGCAACCTTATGCACAACAGAACAAAACACTGCCCGGTTCTGCACCAACCAGTCTTTGGTACACTTGAACCCATGGCTGCTGCCACTGTGCCAGTCCATCTCGTTGGGGGGCTTCCTCTTTTTTGCTGACCTTTCAGTTTACCAAGCATGATGTCCTTCTCCAAGGACTGATCCCTCCTGATAATTTGTCTGAAGTATAAGAGATAAAATCTCACCGTCCAGACTTCTAAGGAACATTCTGTCTATACTTCTTCCAACACAGATTTGTTTGATCTTTTGGTGGTCCATGGTACTTTTAATATTCTCCTCCTATACCATAACTCAAATGCACCAATTCTTCGATGGTATTTATTCATTATCCAAGAATATAAGTCATTTAACCTCCCAGTAAAAGTCTTACTAGTAGATGGGAAGAGATAATATTAATTATATTTTCTACTGAGTGATTAGAAAATTAGAACAAGCACAGAAAAAATAAATGAGCGAGTAATAGTAGGTGAAAGTGATTTTTTAAATGTGTGAGATTAGGTTAAATGACAAAATATGGAAGTCTAGATAGATCATATGATAAGACTTTCAGGATATCAAGAAGTTATAACTAAATGAAGGTACTGCAAGTATTCTGCAAGGTTGACTTCACGTCAGTTTCTAGAAGTCCAATGTGGAATTCATACTTCCTTGGTCATATATTTAATTAGGGAGCTGTGGAGTGGCATCACACATTTTAGGGACTCGTGTTAACCTTAAAGAAAACCATGGCTAAAGACAAGCACCTCTTCACATGTAAACATTGTGCCCTAAGCTCTCATGACAAATGCCAGCCTCCCTTTCTTTTCAAAGACTAAATGTTAATCTGAGTTTATTCTAATTTAATTAGATTTTGAAAATGTACTAAGATTGCTGTTTTCTTTCTCAGGGAAAGGACGGCCTTAATCAGAAGCCAGAAAAAGGAGAAAATGGAATCAGGTATGTGTATTTCTTTAAATCGTAATTTAAAGCAGCATGATATGGAAGTTCTGGAACCCATTATATGGTTCAACTGTAAGTAGATATGGAGAAAATGAAAGTATAGGATGTATTTCAAGAATGCAAGGCTGGTTCAGTAAAAATGTAATTGATCATCTTAATAAATTAAAGAGGAGAAGCCACATCTCCATATTAATTAATACCGAAAAGATGTTTGATAGAATTCAGCATCCATCCATGATTTTAAAAAAATCAAACTAGGAATAGAGTAGAACTTCCCTACCCTGGCATCCAAACTCACTGCCATCTAGTCTTCTGACTTATGGTGGCTCTATAGGACAGAGTAGAATTGTTCTGTAGGGTGTCCAAGACTATAAATTGTTACAGAAGCAGACAAGTTCATCTTTCTCCTGCAGAGCGGCTGGTTGGTTTGAACTTGGAGTTAGCAACCCAGTGCTGAACACTTTATATTACCTAACCTAATAATGAAAGTATAAATGCTTTCCCTCTAAAATTAGGAACAGAATAATGCTGTCCACTCTCTCCATTTCTGTTTAGCATCATTCTAGAGATGATAACCACAGAAACAGAAAAGACATAGAAGTAAAAGGCATTCTGATTGGAAAGGATGCAATAAAAACAATTCCTACGGAGTCCTGGTGTGGCGCTGTGGGCTAATGCGCCAGACTGCAAAGCCATTTGAACTGCAAGGTCGGCGGTCCAAGCTCAACAGCTGCTCCTCAGAAAACCTATACAGGGTTGCTATGGGTCGGAACTGACTCTACAGCATTTTGCAACAATAACACACAGACAGATGATGTCACTGTCTACAACAAAGTCCCAAAGTGATATATAGATATGTTGTTGTTAAGTACCTTAGAGTCGGTTCCAACTCATAGAGACCCTACACAGGGTTTCCAAGGCTGTAAATCTTTATAAGAGCAAAAGGCCTTATCTTTCTCTCACAGAACCACTAGTAGTTTCGAACTGCTAACCTTGAGGTTGGGGCAGCCTGGCTCGTAACCACTATGCTACCAGAGCTCCTTAAGATATAGATATATATAAAACAACCTCATAGAATCAGTATGTGCATTTAGAAAAGATACAAGGCCAACATAAAAAATCCATTATATTTCTATACTTGTAGTGAAATAATTGGAAACTAAAATTGAAAACCCATTTAAAATACTGCAAAAAGTTGAAATAATTAGAAATAAGTCTAACAAAACATGTGTAGGATGTGAGTGCTGAAAAATAGAAGAAGCTTACCAAAGAAGAGCTAGATAAAGAGATATTGTGTTAATGGATTAGAAGATAATATAAACGTAGATGCTGATTCTTTCCAAGTCAGTCCGTATACACATCTAATGCAATGCCTACCAAAATCCTAGCACTATAATTATAGGTATGTTGTTGTAGTTGTATGCCACCAAGTCGGTTCCAACTCATAGTGATCCTGCAGATGGTTTCTGAGGCTATAAATCTTTATGGGAACAGAAAGCCCCCTGTGTCTCCTGCTGTGTGGCTGGTGGGTTAGAACTGCCAACCTTGTAGTTAGCAGTCCAGTGCTTATCCGGCAGAGCTACCAACACTCCCTTTTTATAGATCTGTCGTTGTTGAGTGCCACTGAGTTGGTTCCAACCCATAGCGACCCTGTAGAGGGTTTCCAAGGAGTAGCTGGTGAGCTTGAACCACCAAACTTGCGATTCAAACCACCTTTGCAGTCTAGTGCATTAACCTACAGCACCACACCAGGACTCCTTTTATAGACACAGGCAAGCTAATTTTAAAATGTATATGGAAAGGCAAAGGAAGTAGAACAGCCAAAATAATCTTGTAAAAAAGTATCAAATAGGAAGACTCATTGTTGTTGTTGTCAGGTGCCATCGAGTCGGAACCGACTCATAGCGACTCCATGCACAGCAGAACGAAACAATGTTCGATCCTGGGCCAACCTCACCACCGCTGCCACCCCCGAGTCCATCAATGATGCCACCTGGCCGATCCATCTCGTTGGAGGTCTTCCTCTTTTTCTCTGACCCTCCACCCTACCCAGCATGACATCCTTCTCCAACGATTGTTTCCTCCGGACTACATGTCCAAAGTAGGAGAGACGAAGCTTAGCCATCCTGGCCTCCAAGGAGCACTCTGGCTGCACTTCTTCCAAAACAGATCTATTGGTTCTTTTGGCAGTCCATGGCACCCTCAGTATTACTACTACCAATTATAAGACTGCCTCTAAAGGTACAGTAAGCCAGACAAAGTTGTATTGGCAAAGGAATAGACTCACAGAGAAATGGAACAGAATTGGTGTTGTTGTTGGGTGCCATCAAATCAGTACCGACCCATTGTGACCCTATGCACAGCAGAACGAAACACTGCCCGATCCTGGGCCAACCTCACTACTGTTGCCATGCTTGAGTCCATCAAGGCTGCCACTTGGCCAATCCATCTCGTTGGGGGTCTTACTCTTTTTCTCTGACCATCCAAAATAGACCCACACAAGAATGGCCAACTGCCTTTTGACACAGATACAAAGGTAACTCAATAGACCAAGGATAGCCTTTTCAAATAATGGTGTTGAAAGATTTGGATATTCATATGTAAAAAATAAACCTTTCATTCTGCTCATTAAGATCTATCTATATGGTATCAAACAGACAACAGCAGCTTGACAGATTAGATAGAACCTTGTTGTTCTGAAGTGCCATCGAGTCGGTTCTGACCCATAGCGACCCTGCATAGGGTTTCCAAGGAGCGACTGGTGAGCTTGAACCACCGAGCTTGTAGTTCAAATGGCTTTGCAGTCTGGTGCATTAACTCACAGCGCCACACCAGATAGAACCTTAGTGGCAGTGAATTGATATTAATAGAGGAGGAATAACTCTCAAGATATACTTGAGAATGGTGATGAAACCCAAAGCATATCGTCAATGGCACTGAAATGTACACGTGGAAATGAATTGGTGTATGTTTTCCCGTGAATGCTCTCAACAGCA